CCTCAAGCATACACACTAGTAGAGAATATTATCTCACACCTGTGGGGCGGGGCTGAGACGGACTGAGAGACCATGAAGAAATAAGGGACAGTTAAGGTTAACAAAAGAAAAGATGCTGGAGAGTTAATGCTGAAGTCATCTTGTAAAAGCACCTGTCTGCTCATGACTCAGTGCTTTGGAGTCAGGAGAGACGAGCAGGGCTGAGGAGAGGTATTTGCTTAGTTATCTTACAAGATACACTTAACTCTGGTTTCCGCCATGCACTGCTCTGCCTCTCTGCCTACACCACTTTCTGAGTCAATGTGCAAAAACAAGGATGTCACAGCTGTTGCAAACTAACACAATTTACTTATCAACAACAAGGATGTCAGTGTAGATGCTGTTTCACATGTTGTGTTGCATCAAGGCAGCAGCTCTGGTTACTACAGTACCTATAGCCCAGGCTGGTACTCTGGGGGGGCCACATTTTGCTCCGGAGCGGTGGCTATATTTTCACTTAGTTCACTGAGCTGACAAGCCACTACAAGCTCCCCATCACCTCATCCTTGCATCATCATCAGTTAGGACGCCTCTTAGGCACGCGGCCCCCATCACCTTGTTCAGTCATGCAGATGGACTCCTCATGGCCCATGCTGGGGATTTGGGGGAACTCCTGCCTGCTGTGTCAAATTAAGCCTTCATCCTGACATTAAAAACAGCACACCAGGTAGCACACATTGCCACTTTAAATTACATGGGATAGAAATGCCACAGGGATGCACCGGCATTAATGTTAAAGCTAGCAAGCGTGACGCAGACTAAGCCACATTTTTCAGACAAAAATTTTACAAAGAGTGTTACAACACAGGCCCTTGAGAACCTGAGGGCCACATGAGAGAGGGATTTGATGAATTCTGCAAATGTTCCATGGATTCCTCCCTCACGGGGACCTTTGGGAAAAGAATGGGTCATATGCAAATGGAATGCACAGTATGGAGGAGATGTTTCCCACAAGCCAAGTGTGAAAAGGGCTTTCCCTCTACATGCCAGATCCACTGAATGGGCCTTTTCTTCTGCCACTGAAAGTGTATGGGGTAGAGCAGGCAAACTGCAAAGGTAACTAGGCTCTTTCTCCTCAGGCTTTCTCACTGAAGCCTGAATACACAATGGCTCATTTGAACATTCACCCACACAAACCTCAATAAAGCACATCCAAATGCAGTTAAGATACTGAAACTGACTGTGGGTTTAAAACTCCTTCTTTACTCTTTTTTTTAGTCTAATGCTCGCAGCCTCCATGGGAGCAAGTAATCATTAAACTGCCTTAACAGAGGTGGGAGTGTTGTTGTACATCACATCATTTTAATGCCACCTTTTCCGACCCTTGTTGACTAGTTGGGAATGAAGTCTAGGTGGAAGCATAACTTTTTCCCACATAGCATAAAGCAACTAGTAACTTTACCTGTATACTATGTAAAATTCTTCTGGGGTTATTTTTGCTGATGTGTGTCTGAAGCACAGCAGTCACCTAGTTTTGACTCTAAAATCTATACTAGCCTGGGAGATAGCTGCCATGTGTCATGCTTTTTATCTGCCACCACCAGCCCCTCAGTTGTCACCTGTGTAAAAATCTTTAATCACCTCAGCCATTTCTCACCAACTCTTTCCGTCACCCCTTTCAACTCCACAGGGAACACGAAGCACACAGTTTAAGGGGTCAGAGTAGAACGAATGGAGTGAAGGAGGGAATGGAGAAAAAACCGCAGCTCCCACAGCCCCCTGCTCTTCTCTTCCCCTTTCACTGACCAAACTTAAACTCAAACACAATTAAACATGCTGGAAGCCTCACAATGGCACAAGGGGTGGGAGTGGAGAATGTAGGGGGGGCAGGGGGTGAAGTGAAGTCATACTCTAGGCACACATGGATGCCTAGGTCAGGGGGGCAATCAACAGCACCCCTGGCTACTGTGTCTTAAACTCCTGATATAAAGGAAAAGCTGTGGAAGGAGGAGTGAGAGGGAAGAGAGAGAGCGAGGAGAGGTGGAGGGATTTTCTTCTTACTTGGCACTTTCAAATGAAGCTGCTGAGGAAGTAGGTGAAACGCAATGAGATAAATGAAAAATCTCCTCATTTCCTAAACTCTTCACACAACTGGGATGGACCTTTTAAATGTAAACAGATGTCTCTTACAAAACTGAATTGGCGTGTGGAGCAACAGAGTCACTCCCCAGCTCCTGCATTATTGCCCAAAACTTTGCTTGTTTAATCAAAACAAACTGTAGCTATAGCAAAACCATTGTTTATTTATTATTCTCCCATGAACTTACAGCCTGTGGTTGGGTGAGTGAGTCCAACCAAGTAAGTATAGCTTAAGTGTAGTTTTACCAGGCTCTTCAACAGTACATGAGTTGTTGCCAAGTGCCAAGCCCACAACCTCATTTTCTTTATTTGATGCGTGATTCATCATGGTGTGAGTATGCCTCAGAGAATGGATATGGGTGTGGGAGTGGGGGGCAGATTAGGGGAACAGACAAATGAGCCCTGTGATACTGTCAAATAAACAGAAATTGAAACTATCTGTATGCATACTCATTACAAAATGTCTCTGAAAATATTGGCTCCAGCTCCCAAGCATGGGCACAAAGCTGTCCTAGCACAGCCCTGTTTATTTTGCAAAGAATGTTAATACAAGGCACATTCCTGTATTCACAAATTACTGTGTTAAACTATGATTGCTTTTCCTAAGGGAGCTGACTAGGGAGAAGTGACAAAGGATGCTGTGCTCTCCCACTGATCACAAACACCTGTCATCCTGCAGGCTGTTAACACCTCTCTGTTTACAGTGAGGAATGGAGCTCACCTTGATGTCAGCTCTCCTGCAAGCCTGGCAAAGCCACTGACCCGAACATGCTGGGCACCATTTGAGTGCTTGCTTAATTATAAGGGACCAAGTACTTAAAATGTTTTTTCCAACACATACAAGTAGCTTGCAAGCTGGTTTAGATTCCTGCAAAGACAGCAGCCCCTAACAAAATCCTAACTTGTTATAAAATTGTAACCAAACAACAGCTATGACCACATGCAACACCAAACTTCAATCTTACTGTGCAGCAGATTTGCCTCCAAAAAGCAAAGAAGTTGATTTAAGTGACAGATCTAAGCTCAGAAGCACACCTTGATGATATGTGGAAGTAAATGCAAAGGAGACAAAGTAACAGGTAACTCATCTGTTTGGTTACTGTTAAAAATATTAACAGGGTCATGTCATTAATAAGAAATGCTTAATTAAAACCTGCTAATTTAAAAACCAGAAGAAAGAAAGAATAATCAATTTAAAGACCAAAAAAGAAAGAAAGAACAAATGACAGACAGGCATCCAGAGTAGGCTAAATATGACTTCTCTCACAAGAAAGAGAAACATCCCCACCTCAGCAGCAGAACCATTATCTGAGGTGTGTCCACACATTAGTTGCACACAAGCTCTAGAAACAGAATGTACATCATAAAACACCACATAAAAACGAATTGACGGTGGAAATCACCGATAGCACCCAACAAATACAAATGCCACACAATCTTCAAGGAGGTACCACTGGAAATTCACACGACACGCCGTATTCCTCCTCCAACGCATTAACCTACTGATTTGTGATGGTACAGGAATATGACTGGTTTGTAAACAACAGGCCTGCTAGAGAGATGCTGTTACTTAATAAAACAGAAATAGTACAAAAACCATGAGTAACTGTCTTCACAGCAAGAAGAATAAGCTTTATTTTATTGTCATTGTAACATTGTGACACGTACAACGAAATTTTGTTTGGACCCGAGGGGCCCCGGGCCGCTGCGTGCATACGCGCCGCCATCACGGGCAAGCCACAAATAAATAGACGGAAAGATGTCAATTCACAAAAAACCCACAACCACAAAAACTGAATATGCAGCAACTTGTATTACTGCTATAGGAGCTACTTTATATTAAAGTTGAAAATAACGGAAGAGAAAAGAAAAATTAAGTATGTTTGAAGATTCGCTCGTGTTCACGATCCTACGAGGATCTGAACTCCCGGGGCGCGACAGGAGGATCCGCTGCCCATGTATGGGCTAAGCTCGTTCCGCTCCCACAAAAAGCGCGTGAGATGTTCCTCGTTCTGTAAAGCCCATCTATGTTTCTACTATAAGCTTTCTGTCATGACTGTATGGTCACTGTTAAAACATTAAATGAAACGTTAAACCTGTAAACAGCGCAGTAGCAAAACACTAATAAGTTAGAGGATGTAAAAAAGACAGCTAAAGAAAACGCGCTTAGGCAATTCAGGACGCGTTTCTTTTCTATCTTAAAACATCATGATGGCGATATAACCCTGATTTGAAGCACTTAACAGGAAGGATTAAATCGAGAAAATGCATTTTATCAGCCCTTGTAGTCCAGCAATAGTGTCCCGTCGCTACCTGCTACGAGTGAGTAAAACAAAGAAAGAACAAACGAAATAGTTTTCCTCTGTTAGAAAAACACAAATAATGTTTTAACTAAAGTACCACTAGCTTTAGCCAATGTTTTGTTTTCTTTTGTTTTTCAGCTTAAGTTGTTAAATGTACCCAGTCTGTCGATACGGTTCAGGTTGCCTGTTTCTCGACAAAACAGGTCCGACTTTGGGAGCTGGCTAAAAAATGGACAGCATGCAACTAAATCGATGAATGCAGGGTCTTTAAAGAGTGTCCAAATGTGTCGAAACATTAAAGAGTTCAGACAGACAAAAGCTGGTCCATTTATAAGAAGGTGAGGTGCGTATAACGGTCTCCGATGCAGAGAGCCGCTAAGCGGAGGAAGAGACGCAACCCAGGTATAACGGTGCACCAGATAAGATTGTGATAGAGCGCTCACTTGCCACACTACTTTCTGTTGCTAAAAACTGTATCAAAGAGCTGCCAAACTTTTCGTTAAAATTACAGGGAGAGCTAACGGCCTCTAGACCGTTTCCCCGAAAGAAAACCTCCGTATAGGAAGTACTTTTACTCACCGTTGTTCCTCCTCGGGTTCGCCTGCTTTCTACGCTTACACCTGGGGCCATCCGCCATGATCCCTTCGTTGAGTCTAAATGCTACCGGAGAGTCACCTCCTCTCTCACCCCCTCTCCCCCTCCTCCTCCTCCCTCCCCTTCTCCGCACCTGGTTTACGACACTCCGTTTTACGACATCACCTTCCCACACCTCCCCGATCCACGCTGCCAGTATCATTCATAGGCTGGAAGTGAGTGGGATGATCGCATGTACGACGTACGTGCCCAGCTTATTAGTGTTTCATTAATGCGTCATGTATTTAAGACATAAGATACAGCTATTTTATTCTCTCATTTTACAGTAATAATTAAGGTAAAGGCATAGTGGCTATATTGTAATATTGTGCGTATTTGGTCATTTATTTTTTACTCTTATAAACATATAAGGTCCCTGGTAGGCTAGTGCATAAGGCGCAGCCCGGGTTCGAATCAGGGTTGCGTCAGGAAGGGCATCCGGCGTAAAACACGTGCCAAATGTCAACATGCGAGTCGTCAGTGTGACGATTCGCTATGGCGACCCCTAAACAGGAAAATCCGAAACTGACTTTCTTACTCTTATAAACATATAAGTAATTGTTTGAAAATAAAATATTCTGACATCATCATTACACATTATGTTGTGACAAGCACCTTCAACTCCACATTGACCTACTAACTTGTTTACTATCGTGTGTATGTGTGTGTGCGTTACTTCCTCCCCCCTGATGTGTGTGTAAAGCACAGTAGGATAGCAGCACCACAGACAGTGTGTGTTAGATAGAGGAAGAGGTCATGAGACTGTCATCCACTGATTCAATCTTTCACCTAGAGAAAGACCTCGCTGTTTTCCTGAGTCACGCTCACTGCAGTGATGATGAACAGGACAGAGACCTGCCAGCAAAATCAACAAGTTTACACTGTGCTCATATCTCAACTCAGTGCACAGACACACATCCACCACTTATCACCCTAGGCTCTGTGTAACTAGAAAAGAAAAAGCCAGAATCACTTTTGTGGTGAATTCTAAAGCAAAGTGTTATAGTGTTAGGAAAGATGAAGTTTATATGAAATGGCATTTGAGGTCCCATGACATGCAATTACAGGTGAGAGGGGCAGCAGTTGCTGTGAGGGCAGTGGAGGTCCTGAAGCAGATGACTGTAGGGTTTGTGATGCCTGGACCTCTGGTATCTCAGATACTGCTGTGGCAACTGAACTATGTAACCCAATTTTGCCTCAAGTTGATTGTCCTTTATTGTGTAGACACACTGTTTAACAGAGCCATGGAAGTCACAGGAATTTCCCCATTGTGGGATCAATAAAGTCCTACCTATCTACCTACCTGTTATTGCTTGAAGTGATTTAAGGAGCAAGCAGAGAATTTAATAATTCAATAACAGCAGAGGAGTCCATGTTTGTAGAAACTCATAACATAAGAACTGTGTATAATGTAACAAAAATCTAATAAAATCTGATAATCTCATAATCTGCCAAAAATGGAATAGCACAACATGTAATAATGTAATAAGGTATCGCATAATGTAATAAGTTAGAACATTATGAGTTTAGCGACAACTTTTTTCAGCTTTTTTGTTAAAAATGTTTTAGCTTACAATATTTTATAAAACATGTAATAACAAATAAAATTGTAATATTTAAAGGTCGAGCATGTATATTTCATGTGTAGAATGTTTCCATTCCAACCATCACATCATGGACAGTGTAACCATTTCACTTGTGACATGTGCTAACCTTAGGGATACTGTTCAAAAGCAAATAACATGATACATATTTCCTTCATGTACATTTTAGGTGTTTTATGTACTGAAATAAAGCACTCTTTACCAGATTCCACCAGAGAAAGACCAAAGCCGAAATACAGGCCTAAACAGGATACTGGCAAATCTAGTTCAGTCTATTAATGCATATTATATATACTATGTTTACAGGATGTTGTGAAAGGTTTGTCAGAAATCAAAATTTTTTACCTACTGTATAATTCGATTCATAAATATGATTAGATGAATAAGTAAAACAGCATTGGTTCCTACTGAAATATATGCTAACCTAGTATTAGAAAACCAGGTGGTTATGAGAAATCTGTTACATTATTAGCACAAACCTCAACAAGTGTTTCAATACAACCCACACAAACGATTGTCAAGACCTTCAACTTCATTATTCATAGTGGGACCATGTTTAAACGCTTGTTTAAAAAGGTGCGTTTTTAATCTGGATTTAAAAACTGCTAGCTCGGTCATATGTAGATCGAATCTCTAGCTGTAGCTATTATATATTTATTATATATTATATAATTATATGACCACTACTAATATGAGATAGCCTTAAGACATCTCAGATGTGTTTCAGAGCAAGTGGGGGTAAAACATGGTGATTTATTTTCTCTGACATATGTCTGTGTATGTTGTACTGGACCAAATTAATCTCCTAGTAAATCGGAAATACACAAAGCTGGGTATGTTCTTGACCCTTCTATGATTCAGATGAAAAAAGGTGAGAGAAGTCAGTTACAAGATACTGATCTACTTTGATCAGTCAAACTGCTACCTCACAGTAAAACTAATACCTGAGCTACAAAAGAGTCAAATCAAATCAAATTTTATTTGTATAGCACCAAATCACAACAAAAGTAATCTCAGGACACTTTACAAAGTAAAAGTCTAGACCTTACTATTATTACAGAGGGAAAACCCAACAAATCCCCCTTGAGCAAGCACTTGGTGACAGCAGGGAGGAAAAACGCTCTTTAATGGAAGAAACCTCCGACAGACCCTGGCTCTTGGTGGGCCCTTCTGCCTCGACTGGTTGGGGTGAGTGAATAGAGGAGAGAGAAAAAAAGAGTGAGGCAGTTAAGGCTCTGCAAATTGCTCCTGAAGACATCATGCAGGGACTAGTGCGGGAAGGAGGTGCTGCAGGTGGTAGCATCTTGTAATCAGCACTAAAAATTTAAAAAGTGAAGAACAAGAAATTAAAAAACACATTTTGTTTAACTTGTGGATATAGTTGTGGAAAAAGAGTTTTAAATGATCAATTTAGGAAATGATTTGTTGAGAAAGCCCCTCCTCCACAGGAAGCTTTCCACAGTCAATAACAGCAAGCAACGAATATCCAGCCAAAATTAATTCTACCAATGCCACTGAGAGCACAGATAAAAACAACACTGCTAATGCTGAAGTCAAAGTATTTAGAACAGTTGATGTTAACATTAACATTAGCAACAGCATCCCAGATGAGCCAGTCTCTGCAAGAAAGAGCAGCAGCGGCATGGGAATATACAGGCCACTGCCTTGGCTCATGTTGGAACCACTGGGCTCAGAGGAGCAGGGGATGGGGAACATTATCAAGCCTTTAGATATAAACCACAAAGCTGTGAGTTATTTACATGCTAATAATAAACTTAAACAATAAATTTAGAAAGCCTCCAAACATGCAACTGTGAAAAACTAGAAAGAAGTTTGAGTGTATTTTCATTTTATACATTGCAATATATATTATTTCCATTGTAACTGTATTCTAAACATATGCACATCCCAGACAGCTCCACACAAACACACACACGCATAGAAAACACATTCCTGTGCGCATGCATGCAAAATTATATCAGTAATAAAAGTGAGATATTGCCTTAACTAAAGTGCCTCAACAAATGAAAAGTTGACTTCTGCTCCTTCAGGGAGGTTGAAACTGAGGATCAGATGGGTGAGAGTGAGGGATAAGTAGCCATGCTCCACTACATTAAGGGATCATGCTGCTCCCTGAAAATGAGTATTGATCCTCTTAGGTCCCAGATCGTTTAAGAGATTAATGGTAGTAGTGGTTGAGCTCCATGGTGCTCCACGTGGGACCAGGAGATCAGCTCAGTGGGACAGCTGAGCCAAAGCAACCTAGTGAGTGGGGAATGAGGGGCTGATGTGCAGGGGATGGTGGGATAGCTCCATCACATCCATCCACCCACAGCCCCACTAGCTCTGTGCCATCTGGGCTGTCAGCTAAGAGAATCAGCTGAATGTTTAGGGGACAGAGAGATGACAGAAGGGTGAAAGCAAAAAATAGAAACCATTTCAGGGAAGGGCAAAGAGCCCAGAGTGTCAGAAGCAGGCAGGATGGATGGAAAGAAAACAAGTGAGTGGAAGAACAGGGGAAATGAGAATAGAAGAGGAATGGAAAGTACAAAAAGAGGACAATGGAAAAGGTAGACCCTACCCAGCTCTAACTATAGAGGAGAAGCAGGAGGCAGTGTGTGAGAGACACACACACACAGCAAAGACTCAACTGCTTAATCACTCTCAAGAGACCAGCTAAATGTGAGGTCCTCCTCCTCCTCCCCTTTCCACAGACCCCTAACCCCCACAACATTATCACCACTATGGCACTCTGCTCATCTGCAGTCAGGGCTGTTATCCAGCTAAAAGACACCCACATGTGCACACACACACACACACACACACTTTAGAAGTGCTTAGGTGGAGCCTACAATGCAACTGATACTATAGAGAAGGCAAAAGATCAATGCAGCCTAGAAATGGAGTGCCACGCTGCATAAAAAGAGCAGTGTGAATGAACAGAGTTTTAAGGAAAAGGCAGTTTTCTGCTTCTTTTAAACAATCTGGCTCTCCTGTGGTCAAGTCAAACCCTTGGGGAAACTCCTAAAACAATGGTCATCTGACATGTTCAACTGTGTAGCTGAATGCATGCAGCCAGAGTCTGAAAGCTTCTGGTTGTCCATTGTTTTGAGGTCTATTTGGCAATCTGTTAGTTTTCCTTCACTAAACCACAGTATTCTCAACTCGCTTTCATCTTCCTCTTTGATTTTTTCTCGAGACAGGAAGTAATTGACATGCTGGTCAGTCACACCTAAAACCTGTTGCTTTTGTGCAAAAGCAATCGTAGCAGAACCAAAACCCTGGTCGGCCATCCCAAAGTAGTTTAGTAATTTTCCTTTATTAAAGGGGCGCTGCACTGATTTTAAACAGTTCAGGTTCAGTTTACTTATCATGAGGTATGCTGTTATCAGGACTTGCCAGTCTTGAGCAGACAGCCTGCACTGAAAGCTGTGGAATGGAGTTTGACTGAGATGAACATTTACAATAATGGCAGAATGTAACAAGGTGC